CTGGGTGGGCACTAAGGTCCCTTCCCTGGTTCTGTCCCCAGATGCTTTGGAAACACTAAAAACTTACTCAGGAGACAAGAACTCTGCAAGAACTTGCTGAGCACGGATGACGCCAGGGCATTACGGCTTTCCAGCCTGTGAGTCAGCGTGAACTTTTTGGGAAAGGAAGGTGGAAGAGTGCAGCACATGACCACAATCCGTGGCTGGACTTCCTTGTGAGAAGTAAAAGAAAACACCGTGTCAGGACAGGGATGAAAACAACAAGCACCTTTGTGAGAACCTGCCCGAGGGAAAAGAGGTTAGAATATTAAAAACTCCATAGTAACAGACTGAAAGCTGTTAACCAACATCTAATTAATCACAAACTGCAATCCACGCAACAAAACATCAAAAGGAATTGCAGGCAGGAGAAAATGAAAAAGAAACATCCACGCAGCAACCCGTCTTACCCAGGCAAAAACAGGCACTAAGAAAAAATGAAACACTGCAGCGAGGGCCTGAATGGGGAAAGAAATCAAACCCAAACATTTTTTGACTAAACTGTCAGGACTTTATCGTGAACAGCCAAAAACGTGGTTATGTTTTAAACTATCAGGTTTTGTTTTCTCGTATCTAGCAGAAGGCAAACCCTAGTACCTCAGCCCCAACCTACGTATAAAACCCCGTAGGCACTGAACAGCCGCGGGGCTCTGGGGAGCACAACCACCACGCTCCGGCATGAGCAGCGCTCGGCCACGTTGGAAGTGCAGGGCAGTCTTTGGCTTTCACCGCCCAAAGTCCCGCTCATTGAACAGTGAGGAACCAAACGTTGTGAGAACAGCAACTTTTAAGATACGGTTAAGAAAGGGTCTCTTGACTTTCCCTGATTATAATAACAAATGAAACATTAGACACCTGCCTCTCAGGCTGGTTTGCTCACCAACAAGTTCGTTTGGAAGCTGACCCGTATACTTGGATCTATCCTGATGGTTCTTCTGGGTCCATCTGAGGCTCTTTTTGCTTTTTCCTCACACTTTTAAAGTTAAAGCAACATAATCACAAAGTAAACTGCAAAGGAAAGTCCACATGCTGTAAATACTACAACGGGCCCAAGCTGAACAGACCAAACTCCCTCTAGAATCATGGAATCGTTTTGGTTGGTAAAGACCTTTCAGCCCACCCAGTCCAACCGTTACCCCAGCACTGCCCAGCCCACCGCTAACCCATGTCCCTGAGCACCTCGTCCACAGAGCTCCTAAATCCCTCCTGGGATGGCAACTCCCCCCTCCCTGGGCAGCCCTTTCCAACGCCTGACAGCCCTTTCCGGGAAGGCATTTTCCCTAATGTCCAATC